TGTCTTTGCAATAAAACATATTTCATTTCAATAGCTTCAAACAAAACGGAAAACAGAGCATGGAGAATTTTATCTTTGCGATAACAATATTTATTTATTTATTTATTTATTTTTAGTAGTGGGTTTTACGGCACTCGCAACTGCATAAGGTCATATGAGCGCCAAGGGGTGGGTGTCAACAGAGAAGTCTTTACGGGAATCAGACTTACTCTGCTCACCTCTCTAGCTTTAACAGCACAAGGTCTGTTTCGACTATCAAGGCACCCCGGAAATAGCAGTTCACAAGAGAGTGACAAACATACAAAAGAAGAAGAGGAAAATGATGATAGTAATGATTTGGAAAGAAAAGCAGAAGTTCCCTGATGAAGATCAGGCACAGTTGTGAGCGTGACATGATGAATCAGCCCATTTACAATTCTACTGTGCTTGAACGAGAAATGTGCTCCCTTTGGGAAGGGCCCAAAGACACTTCAATCAGTGGCACTGCCGGGGGAGGGGGGGGGGTAACAATATTTCATTTCAATAGTTTCAAACAAAACAGAAACAGAGCAATCTCAAGTACCACGCAAACCCCCTCAAAACTTGAACTTAGAATTAAATGTGCTTATTGTTTTTTGCTAAGCAGTCATTGGTTTTGAGTAGGGTACGAGCCTCTTGGGCATCGATTTTATTAAATTTTGGACATAATTTTGTGTCATTTCATTCCAAATGTCATAGAGGTTGCAAACAAAGGGTCTGAATATTGGGGGCAAAGTCGATTTTCTTAAGCTGCTGTTTCATGGGACTTTACATACCTGTAGGATCTATATCTGGGTTATTCACTGGTGACCACTCCAACGTTGATATGATTTGGTTTTCCAAGAATTGTCTAGTGGCATTGGTCATGTGGGAAAGTGCTTTGCGACGCTTGGTGATGTCTACTCGAATAACACCTTGGCGAAAATAAGAGTATGACATGACGTTCCAGCACTTGTGCGATGTAGTCCATTAAACCAAGCCATCCCGTAAGTCCCACGAGGGCAGTTTTGTTTATTTCAACCCAGACCACCCAAAACCATGACAGTTTCGTGACCTCTGCTTTTCACTGACAGATGGTTAGTTCGAAATCTATCTAAAACAGTCCATGTGCAAAAAAAAGGTATTGTGCTCTACACGAAACCGATGCCACTGAATGAAGTGTCTTTAGGCCATTCCCAAAGGGGGGACATTTCTCGTTCATGCACAGTAGAATTGCAAATGGGCTGATTCATCAATGTCACGCTCACAACTGTGCCTG